CTCCCCCTATCAATAAGCATAGGTGAGTATAAAGCAAATATAGGGAATAGCTCCCCCTGAATAGATTTATGAAATCAAAAGAAGAGGAACATGAGAATCATGTAAAAAGTTTTCAAATGAAAACAAATCAACCAATTGAAATCATAAATCAAAGTTTAAATCATAAAACCAAATCATCATTGATTTTCAAAAATCAAGAGAGGCAACTCTATCTAGCTCTTGAGCTAGTATTAACCCATATGAACATTTTAGCATCCGGCAAACAATGTTTGGGAATAAACACCCAATAACTCCGGAGGGTTATATAAACGTAGTCCTCTTATGGAAGCAAATCAAATAATCATGAAAACAAAAGATTTTAACCAATAAAAGGAATTGTTTTCATAAAAGTTTAAAATACATTTTTCGAAACCAAGAAAAAGAAAAAAAAATACTAAAATTCTTGGCTTTAAAAATTTTGTGCAATGAAAGAGATCCATTTGTTTTTGTGGACCATTAGCTCGTGCACGGGAATCATTTGCAAATAAAGATTTTCTTTTAAAATTATTTTGCAAATGAGAAACATTCTTAAACAATGGTCTATTTGGAACATATTGCAATTTAGAAGCTTTTTGTATATCAAAACAAAATTTAGCAAGATGTCCAAACCTACCACAAACATCACATTTAAAAACATGTGGTCTATTGGAAGCATTTATCAAATGAGATTTTCTTTTTAAATCAAAGCAATATTTGGCCAAATGACCAAAACGACCACAATGATCACACTTGAACACACTAGCATGCTTATGATGAACTTTGTGAAAATGAGCATGTGAATGTATAAGTGTACAAGATGAAGAAGCTACATGAGATGCACAAGGAGCATTAGAATTCTTAAGTTTGTGTGCATCATAACAAAACTTAGCTAAATGACCTTGACGGCCGCAAATAGAACACTTATAAGTTTTGCTATACATGTGTGCATAATGAGTGGATGATTTTGATTTAGCACACATATCCATAAGCTTCTTATGATTATTAATGCATATTCTCAAAGTTGAATCTAAAGATGAAATACTATTTTTCATAAGATTCAAATCTTCATTTTTAGGGACATATGTATTTTTAGAAGTAGAACATAAATAGTCATTTATAAAAGAAGATGTATCATTCTTTATGTTCTCTACTTCTAACATGGCATCAATCTTAGCATGAGATAGGCTAGCAATAGATGAGATCAAATTTTCATTTTCCAAATTTAATGAGTCATTGCTTTCTTTAAGCATAGTATTTTCATTTTCAATGACATCAAATTTGGACACTAGCTTCTCATGATCGGATTTTAAATTATCATGCTTGCATTGTAAATCAACAAAATCTTTATGCAATTTGTTAAAGGCATGCAACAACTTTTCACTAGCACAAGCAAGTTCATCATTAGGTAAATCATTAATGGTTTCGAACTCACAAACCTCACTAGGTCTATCGCCTAGTGCACGTGTGCATGAAGCTCCGTATGAACTTGAAGCGGAATCCTCCAAAGCTTGTCGGATCGCCTCCTAGTCTCCTTGATGTGCTTCAATAAATGTCCATAAGGTGTAAGCACTATCAAAAGAATCAAGCTTGTTAGACATAAATGAATCAAATGCATTCAATAAAAATTCTAACATAAGCTTGTTCATAATAAACATCTTTTTATCATGTTTGCTCCACTTAGATTTCTCCAACGTGGGCACAATATAAGCACAATCAATGATTTCCCATAAATCGATATTTTTAGATTGAACAAATATTTTGAATCTAAAACACCATTGAGCATAAGGGAAAGCATTGAATTTAGGAGCAATACTAGAATCATAGCCTAAACAAGATGCATCATTCATATCCATAATTTGTAAAAATATGCAAGCAAGATACAAATGCAAACAAAACAAGATTAGCACAAAAATATAACTTGGATCTTTAACTCAAGGCGATTAGACCTTAAATCAAAGAGCACCAAGCTCTGATACCAATTGTTAGACCCTAGAGGGGGGGTAATCCGATTAAATACCAATTAAAATTAATTAACAAATTATTCTTGTAAGAGAGATATACAATATGTTACAAGCAAGAATAAGCAATATGAACAAAGGTAAATATCCTAGCAAAGAGATATACTATGAGATATATGCAAGGATATATAAACAACACAAGGGTAAACAAAATGAACTAGATAGTGGATGAAATAAATGAGTAATGCACAATTGGCGATATAAGATAAATGCAAAAACAAATGCGCCAATGACAAACTCAAACACACGATATGATCACGGAGTTCG